AGAAATTTAAAATACAGGGAACTAAGAAAATACATTAAAACATAGCATATGTTACATTAGTAGATGGGGAACCTAAGCATTGTTGTTTTCTCCAAGAATGAAATCATTCCCAGTTTCAGCATTGTCCATGAAGAAATCGGACACATCAAGGGTAGGACATGGAGCATTTTCTTCATTAACATAATTTGCTTCTGCATTTTTCTCTTTGCCTTTTACAGAAGCCTGGTAAAGGTCTACCAAATGTTTGGCCGTACGACAAGTACGTCCCCAATGTCCTGTCATGCCACATCTGTAACATGTGTCTTTTCCTTTTGAAAGAGTTTGTTTGTGGCTTCCAGATGACTGTCCCTTCTGTTTTTCAAAATTTTTGAAATTACTGTTTCTTTGAAAATTGTTTCTACCACGTCCTCGGCCTCGTACGCGATAATTTCCACGGCCTTTTCCACAGCCATTGTAATTTCCACGTCCACCTCTTCTTGTAGCATTTGACTCGGGTGGATAGGAATTTGTTGCATTTGCCTCATGATGAGTGGCCAAAGACCCAGTTGGTCTCAGGTTATGATTTTTCAACAAAAGTTCACTATTTTGTTCCGCAACAAGCAATACACTCATTAATTCATTGAACTTTTTAAAACCTCTTTCACGATACTGTTCTTGCAACAGTATGTTACTTGCATGAAAGGTAGTGAGTGTTTTTTCAATCATCTGTTCATCCGAAACTGGATGATCACAGTATCTCAATATAGACACTATCTCATGTATGGTTGAATTATAATCAATTACAGATTTGAAATCCTGGAACCGTAAATTTGTCCAGTCAAATAATGCCTTAGGAAGGAGCACCCTTTTGTGGTGTCCAAATCTTTCATTAAGGCAATCCCATAATTCTTTGGGATCTTCAACCATCATGTACTCAGTTTTAAGGCCTTCATGTAAATGATGCCTTAACAACACTAAGGCTTTTGCCTTATCTTGTTCTGTAACAGGTTTTGCAACAGTCATTGCAGAAGTGGTAGTATCAGTTGTTTGACCAGAGGGACTTTTATTTTCTTTAACAGTGTGCTCTAAGCCTTGAGCTTTCAAATTCATCATTGCGTCCACTTTCCATTCCAGAAATTTCTTTCCAGATAAATCTAAGATGCTGAACTGTCTTTTCATAAGGTCTCCCATTTTAGCTACAACAAATTTCGTGATAATTAGTTTATAATAACAAATTATATGTACAACTCACATGTTTAGTTCTTCCATATTTATAATTAAGTTAATAAGACACGTGATAATTAAATTTAATAATAATAAACCATAAATAATATAGTCTTTTCTCCCCCTTGGTTTATTATTGTGAGTAATTATATGATTAGACAAAAATTAATCATGTTAGTTGCAAAAAAAAAACAGCAAAACGACAACAATGACAGTAGTAACAATAATTATAATGATAACGGTAATATTATACAATGATGATTAATAACAACAAACATACATAATAAAACAAAAACAAGCTTTTAATATACTAAAACGACAAAATAAGTGAGTTTTACTTATACATAATGACAAAAATTAATATTGCTACTAATAAAATTACAAGCGCCCTAATTAGAAGGAAATATTGTTTTATCTTCATTAAATCTTCCTCAAAAGTGAAGTTGTGGGTGTTTTGGGTGTTTTGGTTGCCGTCGTCGGGGAACATATCGGAGAAGAAGGGGGTGAATTTTTTTTTAGGTGATTTTTGGATAAAAAGTGGGAAGGGATAAGGGATTTGTGGTGAAATTGGGGGAAAAATCCGTCTTTTATAGAGGTAGGTTTATCCGTTACTGTTCTGTGCAACTGTAAAAATATCATATAATAGTCTAACGTACTGGCATAAAATTATGGTCCATATATATATATTTATAATTGTAAAAGGTTATCACACTGGGAATGCAAGCCATAGTGGTCCGAGAGCCCTAATATCTATAAAAGATCATGGGTTCGAAAACGGAAAGAAACACAAAAAGTATGTAAAAGTAAGAAAAATAATAAGTATAAAAGGCTGCATCTTTTTGTTAATCTAGTTAATAATAATATGCATGCAAAGCTACTACTTAGCAATTATAATAACTAAGATAAAAATTCATGTAAAATGAGTATGTAATATCAACATGGATCAAACAAAGAAACATCAACATGAATAAACAAAAGATGATAGTAGTAAATTCACAAGTAAGAGAACTTTCACCGTTGTTTTTGAGGTATATATAGTAAATGTTTGAGTTTCTGTTATAGAGGATCCCAAATATGGGCAACTATAGAGCATACTCCTCGAAACATTTAGAAGTAGATAGTATTATTTGTTATAAATTTTTAGAAGTAGGTATAAATATACCTGACTGAAAACTGGTGCTGATAACGTGTTAAAGAATTTACCGATAGAAAAGTTTTGATTAATAAAAGGAGTAAAAGAGTGAAAGAAGATGGGTGAAATTGTTGTAGTGCTATCATTGTATTCTTACTTCTATGGCATTGTATTTATAGCCATGAGTTACACTAATAATACAATAATTACTCACATAGAGCCATATGAGTTCACAAGTGTTTGGACCTATATGAGCATTGTGTAATCAAATCAATAATTGGCATTCACTTATTAGACTTATCTTCTAACAGTGTGAACTATTTTTGATGGAAAAACAAAGTTCACAAGGCTTTTAAGAACATGATTTGCATTGTACTAAAAACATCAACTCATACAAGTTTAATCGATGACTTTGATGATCTCAAATACCATGAGGCACCAGGTATGAAAACATCTACAAGTTTAGTTTGCTCGATATAGTTGCCGAAAGTTAATTTTGACCATTAATATGCTTCATTGTCTATTAGTAAAAATTCTGACAAAGTTAATTTATGAAAATAGACAATGTGGCTAGTCTAATGATATTCAAAAGTATTATATAATAACACTTTTTTATTTTTATAATAGTAAAAACATTAAGTCAAACATGATATATGAATTGTGCAAATGAAAGTAATACATTTTATAAAACGAAGGGAGTACTTTTTGCAATTAAAAGATGAAAAAGGGAACATGACCTCATATGGAATGGAATGGAACAATAGATGTTAAATTTGTTTGTCTAAACATATATTAAAATAAAGGTTATACATTGATATATATGGTTTGACAAGCTTACATTTAAAAATGATTCCTCTAAAAAACGGATCTCGTAGTGTATTTGTTGTATAGAAAGGTATCGTGTACATTCGTACCTTGCCTAATTAGTTTTCTATTAGGGTGTATTATTTTCTGCCCAATCAAAAGATCTATAAGGATGTAACTTTAATTACTTATTCAATAAATATTAATAATAATGGTGTCCATGAATTTTGATTATTAGTGGATTGTCTAATAGAGTAATAGTATAGCAGATCATATGATAGTTATTAAGAGCCTTGCCAAATTGATCTCCTAATCTAATGAACGTATACATGCTTATTCAATAAATATTGATAATAATGGTGTCCATGTATTTTGATTATTAGTGGATTGTCTAATAGAGTAATAGTATAGTAGATCATATGATAGTTATTAAGAGCCTTGCCAAATTGATCTCCTAATCTAATGAACGTATACATGCTTACTAATATAGACAAACTAAAACTAAAAGTTGTTCAAAACTCTACATAACCTTAGTTGGTTGAGGAAGGCTAATTTTCAAAACTTCTATCTTTGGAAAAGTTACAAATTACAATGAAATTCAAAAAATGGTACAATGTAGAGTAGATAAATTTTAAATTAACTTTGAGATTTGGACCACTAAACCAACCAAGTCCTATAATTGGAACTCAAATAAATGAAGTCATGGGAAATTAATCTCTAAAATGTTTAACTATTTCATTTGCTTTCAAAATTAGAGGAATTTGAAGAAAAAGAATTTAATTTATACCGAGTAACATTTATTACACTTTCTTAATTCCACCATTGTGATTGCTCTAATAATTGAAAATTTTAGAAGGTGGTACTCAAATAACATTTTTAACATCACTAGCCCTCCTATTTGTTTCCCACTCTAGTTAATAGTAAAGCAAAAATTGTTGAGCTAGATAATAAGAACTTTTTCCTCATGCGATTGAAGTCCCAATAACTATGCCTATAATATATTGAGATAATTTGATGTCTTCACGTGTGATTATGGACACGTATTAGAAAAACCAAGTACAGAGTAACAAATTATAAGCACAATAACTAACCAATTTGATATTTGTATTTGATATGAACATTGTTAAAATAATTTTGGTAATATCAAGGCTATAGAGATAAAGAAAATATCACAACAAAATTAAGAGCGATTTTTAAATAAATTGCTCAAAAATAATTAAATTTCATAAGTATACCACATTTTATCAATATTCTGGACATACCATCCACATTAGCACAACTTATTTTTTAACCGATTCACATTAAAACCATTAATTAAATTAACGGTTTTACTCTTAATAAAATCGATGATTTAACTTGTGGTTTATTAAGAGTAAATGTGCAAAACCGAATTTCAGTATGTGTATTTATTAAACCACTAATTCAATTATTGGTTTATATACTTTTATAAAATAAAAAGGTATGTTTTCTTGCTGGTGTAAATGATATACAAGAAATTTTTGTAAAATATAGCGTAAAACTTAGTTTTTTTCGAGCATTTTATATGGAAATAGCTCTCAAAAAAAAAATCGTCTTAAATAATTGTCTTTAATAAATAAATACTGTCTTTATAAAAATATTGCCCTAATTAAATTGCAGATAGCTGTCTTTATTAAGCTCACGCTTCCCATTCATAAAAACGGTTCAAGCCTTCATTACAGTCCACCTACAAAGCAACTGATTTCATTCCATTAAAAATTTAATAAAATAAAATAATTTCTGCCTAATAATTCCAAGTGATAAGTCAATCAATTTTTTAGCCGTTTTGTTTCAACTATACTAGGGAAACTTAATTATTACACCTAGTAATGAGTTTAGGTATACTCCTACTACTATTTTTTACAATTTTTTTTTATTTAATTTTTTATTAAAAAAAAAGTGGAAAACAAAGGTCTTCACTTCACCTGAAAATCTGCGACCAGACTCTGCAGTTTCATTGCCCTTTTTCTTAAACAGCATCAAAGCTTATTTAAATCACACCCCTTGCTTCTTTCTCTCTCTTCTTTCCCTTCTTTCTCTCTCTACTCTGTTTTTTTTTTTTTTTTTTTTTTTTTTGCCCATTTCCAATAATTTTGATTATTTTTTAATTTTGGGGTCAAATTAACTCAAAATGAGTGATTAAAAAAATGGGAAATTTTGTGTTTTAATTTTAGGCAGTGTGAACTTGTTGTTGTTGAGGAAAGTTGAAGTCTTTCCATTTACACCTTCTACAAATCTTGAAGAATTCCATGGATTGACAAATCTAGGGTTTGAATTTTCACCAAAGGTCTGTCCTTTTTTCTTGACTAGTGATTTTTTTTGTTTGATCTTTGATTTTTACCATTGTCAATGAATCAAAATCTCCTGGGTCTTAATTTATTTGAAGAATTAGTCATTTTCCAAGTCTATACTCTTAAATTCCTTAAAAAAGATTGAATTTTGTTCTTAAAGTTTGAATCTTTACCTTAAATTCTCAAAATGGGTGCTTAGAAGTTCTGTTCTTTGCTGATTTTGTTGTGATTTGAGTAATAATTTGTGGAATTTATGGTTGATTTTTATTCTGGGTTTCTGGGGTTGGGAGTTTAGGGTTTAGAAATTTCAATTTATTTTTGGGTATAAATTCTGCCTTTCCTATAAAATGGAAGGAGTAGAAGAAGCTAACAAAGCAGCAATTGAAAGTTGTCATAGAGTTCTAAATATATTATCTCAATCCCAAGATCAAACCCAGTTTTGGAATTTAGGTTCTGAAACTCAGCAAGCTGTAACTAAGTTTAAGAGAGTTGTATCTCTTCTTAGCAATGGTTTAGGTCATGGAAGAGCTAGAATAGTTAAGCATAATAGGAGTACTGCAACCCCTTTTACTCAAACCCTTTTTCAAGAAAGTTCTAATGTTCCTAAGATTGAACCTAGTTCTAGTAATCAGCAGCCTGTTACGACTACTTTCCAATTGCTGAAACCCAATTTGAATGAGAGCTCAATTCAAGAGAATGGATCCACTACTGGGAAGAGTTGTCTGTCATTGGGTGGAAATTTGTCATTGGAATTGAATTCGGGTGCGAAAACAACCCCGATTCAGGTTGTTCACCCGAGTTCGTCGACACATTTTCAGTTGTTTCAGCAGCAGCAGCAGAAGCTTCAGCTTCACCAGCAGCAGCAGATGAAACATCAGGCTGAGATGTTGTATCGAAGGAGTAATAGTGGGATCAATCTGAATTTCGATAACTCTAGTTGTACCCCGACAATGTCATCGACTAGGTCGTTTATTTCTTCGTTGAGTGTCGATGGAAGTATGGCTAATTTGGATGGCAATGCGTTTAATTTGATCGGTGTGAGTCAATCGTCAGACCAGTTGTTAAGCCAGCATAGGAAGAGGTGCTCTGGCAAAGGGGAAGATGGGAGTGTGAAATGTGGGAGTAGTGGAAGATGCCATTGTTCCAAAAAAAGGTTAGACCTCACTAATTGTTACCGCTTGCTTTTGAACTATTAACAGTTACATTTGTCAGCTGTGTTGATGATATTTTTTTTTTTGTGATGAATGTAGGAAGCATAGGGTGAAAAGATCAATCAAGGTTCCTGCTATCAGTAACAAGTTGGCTGATATCCCTTCGGACGAGTACTCTTGGAGAAAATACGGGCAGAAGCCGATCAAGGGCTCACCTCATCCTAGGTATATTCATGTTCTTGTTCTGTTTTATGTTCTGCTTTATGATGTTCATCAACTAACTTAAGTTTTCCATTCCCTTAAAGTTGATTGATTAATGTGAATTGTCGACTGTGAATAAGTAAATAAGCATCTTTGATGAATTTCACTTGTGAAATTCCTTTTACAGCTAAATTCTTTGATTGGTCTCGCCATATTTAGATGAATTCTTTGCTGCCTAAAGTTAGAAAGCTTATTAATAGCACTTTATTCTGAAAACCTTTTGTGTTTCCTGCAGTTTAGGATCAATTTAGGCTGAATTGCTTTATTAAAGTTTAAAACTTGTTCTAAATTGCACTTCTTACTATCATTAGAACAAGTAGAGTCAAGCTCCTTTACTTTATCTTTAGAAAAGTGTCCTCTTAGTCTAACTTCTTTTCCTGGATGATATCAATTGATAAAGGGAAACAAATCACAGAATCATGATTCTAAGATAATGTATACAATACAGCAGATAATATCTATTGCATCTGCATGTGCATGCTCCTATGATTTAAGAAGCATTGGCGCTAAATCTATTACTAATGACTGTTGCACTTATTCTCTACAACTAAGCCAATTACTTATTGAGGAATCGGTATTGCTTGGATTATTGTTGATAGATCAGATACCAAGCAGTCAGTTAATGTTCCTTTACGCTTTTAGGTACTATGGTATCTAAAAGAGCATAAGGGTAAACAGCAAGGCCTCACTTTTGCCCATATTTTTGGCTAAAACAAGTCATAGCTACTAGCTCTCCTTGATTAGTAGCAGATTGGCTCATTAGGATTGAAAACTCCCTGTGATATGAAGTTTGCTTACATGAATATAAATGCTAAATAATGCTGCAGTTTTCTTTTCATGTGCTGTTAGATTACATGTTACTAGGATTTGTTCGTGATATCATGTGCTCAAACATTAGTTAGTTACTCCGAAGGCAAGTTCCTAGGCTAATGTGATGATTTTACAGGGGCTACTACAAGTGTAGCAGCATGAGAGGCTGCCCTGCCAGGAAACATGTTGAGAGGTGCTTAGAAGATCCGTCAATGCTTATTGTTACTTACGAAGGTGAGCACAATCACCCCCGCCTACCATCACAATCGGCAAACACATGATTCAATCAAGCGGGGTGCCCCTCCTCGACTTTTGTGGAACATGATAGATTGATCTGAATTGCTCCTGTACATAGTTCCTTTGACTCAGGCAAGTGCAGAAGTAAGGAATAGCCTTTCAGTATTTTGGGAGCATTTTTTGGGGGGTTTGGTTTTAGATAAATCAATTTCAGGCTTTGTATTTCAGGCTTGACAACGAAGGGGGGTTCCAAGGCTCAAGGGTTTAAAGTGTAAAAATCGCTTCCATCTTTGACATTATGTGTTTATTACAGTTGGGGGAGGTGTTCATATGGTTCATAACTTTGGCATGTCAAACATTTCAAGTTTCAGTCTTGTAGTGTTCGTAGCTCTTATCATGCTTAGTTTCTCATCTTATGGTTTGAAAGAAGAGTTAAAGTACTAACCTAGTTTCAAATTTTTGTCTATAAACACAACACTCCCATCCCCACATATTTAAGTATTTGCCATAAGTTTAAGAATCACCCTTAATATATCTTTCCATGTACAGTTATTATAAAAAAAGACGTCAATTTTTCTAAACATCTTGAAAATAGTATGCGTGACTATTATTAATCCTGTATGGAGGGACAGTTGTTTATATCAAAATACCAAAATCTTGGGGAAATTTCTTGATTTTCTTTGGTGTGACATCCCAAATTTGGCATTATTTTTGGACTTTTATGATGACTTGGAAGATTGAGGCATGATTTAACAAGTATGGAGGCTGATATTGTTCGGATTTGCAATAAGGGAAGAGAGGGGTTGGACTTTTAGTGTTGATTATTGATGGGTAATGTTTAACTATTCTGGTATCTTATCTGTTTTTTGACTTTTTTTGTGAATGAGCTGTCTGTCTTTTATCAATTCTTTGAACTTTGCTTGCAAGCTTTAGAGATGGGCCATCTTTGAAGCAATCATATTCCATCTTAGTCTTTACTTATATTCTCGATCCCTATCATCCTCTAGGTTAGGCCATATATTCTCTATTAAGATACTTCCTCCATTCTTTTTAATCACAACGCTCGTCATTAAATAATTTCAAGTTTTCAACCGTTAATAATTTTAGTTGTTAATTAAAATTTATTAATAGTTTGTGTTTTGAAATTCTACACTGAGATGAATACAATAAGATCTTATGATTACATTTTATTCTAAGTATAAATCAACAAAAATAGTCAAATTATGTAAGGCTTTTTTTTTCCTTGTCTTACAAAAATAATATTTAGTAAAATTAATTTTAGTTCATTAAAAATAAGTTTAGTTTAATAAAATTAATTTTACTGATTCACTATCATATTTCCTCTTTAAATTATTTTACTGAATAGTTCAACAAAAATAATTTAAATATATACTACCCCTAAAAATGGATACTCCGTATTTAATGAAATTAAAGATTTTGTTAATTACTACCTTAAAAACAGAGGCTTTGTGAATTACTACCTCTAAAAAAAAAGTTTTTAATTACTACCCCTAATTCATCTAAATGGGACCGATTACTACCCAATTGCACTTTCAGGTAACTTAACTCACCTTATGACGTCATTACTCCGATTTAACCACAGTTTACCCTTTCCGTGCCCGCGGCTACATGCAAACAAAGCCACGAAAACCCACACCCGTGGATGATTGGGGAGAGCCCTATCCAAGAGCACGACCAGCCTTATACAGGTTCAAAAGATGAGCTCCAATTCACCCTGTCCGCACCCGCAGCCTGGACACCCGCGCCCGCGGCTCCCTGCAAACAAAGCCACGTATAGCCGCGCCCGCGAATGATTGGGGAGAGCCCTCTCCAAGGGCGCGACCAGCCTTCTACAGGTTCAAAAGATGAGCACCAATTCACCTTGTCTGTGCCCGTGGCCTGGACACCCCCGCCCGCGGCTCCCTAAATAACAGTTATCAATACACTACTAAGAAGGGTTAAAATGTGTCATAAATGACACTTATCAATACACAATTACAAAAGCTTGACTATAATTGCCAAGACCAACATAAATAGTCAAAACAGAACATAACTTTGAAAAATAGGCATGCATGCCATAATTGTACTCAAAATAGGACTTAAACTGCCTAAATGTTGAAGTCTTACACCAAACACACTAAATAACAGTTGTACTTTGAATCTAAACAAACAACTACTCTCTCATTTCATAAATTGGACTACTAGGCTGCTGTGACTGCCCTGCTGCTGTGACAGTTGATGCTTGGGATGAGCTCTCTCCAACCTTAGCTTGTGTTGCCTGCTAGTTGTTACCCTGCACAATCCACCACCAAATTAAGAAAGAAAACTTTGTAAGGGAGGCTAAAAACACCAAAAGAGAAATACAAGTACTTTGTTTTTAGACCTCTTTCCTTTCCCTGCAACCCTCATTGCTCTGCTATGCACCACCCATGGGTCATCAGAGAATGGTTTTCCACCCTTATTCTTGGGTTCAGATGAGGCATCAAGGGTTGGGTTCTTGCATCTCTTAATGTTATGTCTATATTGCTTGCAATTGGAACACTTGTATAGCTTCCCACCCATTCTTGCAGCCTTCTCTGCAAGGTCAGCAACTTTCTCAACATCCTCTCCAACTTCCTTCTTCCTTTTTTTCTTTGATGGCCTGTCTGGCATGACCTTAAGTGGGGGGAAAGAGGTCTTTTCCCATTGCTTAGGCCCTGGCATAGGCATCAATATAGGGGAATAGGCAGCTAGGTACTTGTCCCTTGAATAAGCTGCATCCACATAATCCTCTAGATTCCCTCTCATGTACAAAATACAAGCATATGCATGGTGGCATGGTATCCCTATCAATTGCCAAGAATAGCAACTGCATTTCCATGCATTCAAATCAACTAGATGCCTATCTCCATTGTTCTCAACCTCAAACAACCCTTCTGTGCTCCTAGTCAATATGTTGTACTTCCTAATTCTCTCAACCCAATCAAATTGTTTCTTAACATAAGGCATGAACCTCCCTCGCATTCTTTGAGCTCCCTCCCTTTTCTGACACAATTTCTTTGCATAACATATCTTTTCATCCATTCCAAGTGTGTTAAAATTAGTTGTCTCTTGCTTGTTTTAACACATTGTTAAAGCTCTCACACATGTTATTCAAAAGCATTTTTGATTTAGGGGTAGAAGAAAATGCATGCCTACTCCAGCAATAAGAGGGGATAGCAGACATGTATTCATATGCTTTCTCAGACATGGTGTTCAATGTTTGCATATGCTCATTGAGTTCTAACTGCACAATCACAATAAACCAAACAACCAAAGCTAAGCTAATTACAACGACAAACACTGGCTTTAAGCATATATTTAGGAAAATGAGGTGCATACCACAGTTGTAGCCTTGGGTACAACATTTTGGAAAGTTTTTAACAGTCCCTGCAAAACAATTCACACAGTTAATTATATATCCTATTCCCAAAACTTAATCAAAATGAATAAAAGCAAAGTCTTTAGAGAGAGAAAACTCACTTTTTGTCTATCTGACATGAAAGTGTATCCATGTCCATCCAATGTTCCCAATGTTGAAGCTAACAAGTCCTAGAACCATGACCAAGTGTCAGTTTTTTCAATTTCAACAACACCTTAAGCTAGGGGATAAATGTTGTTATTCCCATCACTTGCCACTACCACAAGACAGATCCCTGGATATGGACCTGTTAGATGGCAACCATCTAACCCAATAAGAGGCCTACACCCTACCTTGAAGCCATCCATCACTAGCTTGAGTGATATAAACATCCTCTGGAAAATGGAAGGAGGTTTCTTTATGTTCTCATACATGCATAAAGCATTGCTACCCTCATTGTACTTCTTCAAATCATATGCATAATCCCACACCCTTTTGTATTGCACTGACCCATCTCCATACAACATCATCTTTTCTCTTGCTCTTGCAAACCACAGCTTGAAATAACCACTGCACAATAAACACTTGTATCTCTCAAAACCCTTTGACCAAAACCTTTGGTCAAGTGCCAATCTGGATCAAGCCTCCAATCTTCCAAGTACTTCTCTGCCAAGTACTCTAATGTCACTTTTTTGTTCCTTTCTGCAGCCCTACATGTGTGCTTCAACCTCATTGCCCTAATGAACATTGTTTCTTCTATCTTTAGATTTCTTGTAATAACCTTGAACTTGCACAAAGGCTGAAGACAAGAACAATTTCTCTTAGACTTTTTTGGGTCCCATGGGAAAGCACATCTATCTTTACAATAAGCAGTCACCTTCTTCTTCCCATTGTGTAGCAAGTAGTAGTCATATTTGTTCTCTATTGCATGTTGTCTTAGTGTTTTTCTAAACACATTCACTAAAGGAAACCTTAACCTAGGTGTGAGTTTAATTAGCTGCTCAAAATCAACTTCTGGGTTAAATGTTTGTGTCCTGTCAGGCTCTTCATTTGACCCATCTATGCTTCCTGGCTCTTCAGAATCATAATCAATTTCCTCACCTAAGTTTGACTGTACTGCCAAGTCAACTTCTAGCTTAGCTTGAGACCTAGTGACTCTACTAGAGATAGACTTCCTTCACTTCTCTAACAGGTACTCCTCCAATGCTGCTCTTTACAGTGTGTAGAATATTTCCCCCCAAACCATCAGCAAACAAATCTTATTCCTCCTTGTCATCAAAATCATAGTCATCTAAATATGGAAGGACATCAAGTTCATAGTTAAACTCATCTCCATCCTCAAATTGTTCTCTCAATTCATCTCTATCCTCAAACTGTTCTCTCAATTCATCTCCATCCTCAAACAAATCTTCTACCTCTTCTAACTCATCCCCATCCTTACCACTTTCATTATCTTCTTCCCCACCCAACCAAATTCTCTTACCTGTTGACCTAGGTTCTGAAACAGAGTTAGCTACCTCCTTCCCCTTTCTGGATACCTTTTTCTTACTCCATGTCTTTTCTACAGCCACATCCTCATTCTTCTTACTCCCTTTATTCTTTGCAGCCACAACATCATTCTTTGTCTTCAAGTTGTCTATGTACCTCCTAAACTCACTCTCACTAATGACCTGAGCTTCTTGGATAGATCTAATTGCATATGTTTTGACAGGAGATGTAGTTGGTGTTTATTGGGATGTTTTTCTCCTCACAGGTAGTTTAGATCTTGTGAACTGGTGGGATTGAGAAGAGGTAGGCTTTACAGAAGGGTTTGGGTGAGGGTTTGAAGAAGTGGTACCCCTTTCTATTTTAGCTGTTAGTAGTGGAAGGTGTTTTAGGGAAGGGTTTTTCTGAGGTGAGGGTATCTTTTGAGCTGGTTTTTCAATGCAAATATCATCTTTTTGTGCACCACCTACCATTATTGAATTACTTTGTATGGGGCCCACATTAAACTTTTGCATGCCATTCATCACACTCAAACACAACAAAGTAATTACATCTGATTGCCCAACACCTTTCAACAGAT